GGGGAAGGCTGTGGATGTTGTCTACTTGGACTTTAGTAAGGCCTTTGACACTGTCTCCCACAGCATTCTCCTGGAGAAGCTGGCTGCTCACGACTTGGGTAAGTGCAATCTGTGCTGGGTTAAAAACTGGCTGGACAGCTGAGCCCAGAGAGTGGTAGTGAATGGAGTCAAATCCACTTGGCGGCCGATCACGAGTGATGTTCCCCAGGGCTCAGTGTTGGGGCCAGTCCTGTTCAATATTTTCACTGATCTCCATTTCATGTATGGTTTGTGCATAAAGCTCTTCAGAGCTCTGATAAGGCTTGCATAACTTGCTACCATGAAACAGTTATTATATTGCAAGTTGAATTCAATCCTAGTACCTTAGTTTTCCTGTGCTTGTGTTTTGAATGCACATTCACACATACATCCTTACATTCTAATCATATGATACCAAACTACTATTACCAAATTTGGGGACGACTTCTTACAGTCTTTGCTGAGGCAAAGGTATCTGTGATCTTACAGTACAAAGTAGTCATTGTAAACTAACTACAGGTAATGAAACATCAACATACTTCAACAACATGCAGTCGTGTAACCTTGTAATGAATTTCTCATTCCGGCAAAAGCTCCCTACTGTTTGCATTTCCTATCATATTGAGTATTTACTTTCCATACAGTATTAGAGCCTGATCCCACAGTTCTTTTATAGACAGACCAGCTACGTATACCAAAGTATATTTGGTCTCAGTAAGGACTATATGATTGGATTGACTGTTTATCTACCTGGAAAATCGGCTTCCAAAATTCCATAATGTGGAAACACACCAATTGTTTCTTTTTTAGTCCGATTCACAGATCAAACTCTCAAGTTATTTTTTGAACAGGTAGAGGTGTTGGGCTTTAGTGAATTAGGCCCCTAATTAAAAAAAATCAAGTAATTTCTAACTTCCAGTGTCAAACACTCATTCCCAATAATGGTGCAGACTCAGATCATTCTTGGCTTTTCTGTTTTCACTAATATTATAGAGCCCACGGCCTATATTAACTATTATTCTTTGTTTGAATTACTTTGTTTTCTGCAGATTATTAACCACTTCTATGTATCTCTTAAGCATCCTCAGTATATTTAATTTTTTTTTCTCAGATCTGATACTAATCAAGAGATGACAGCATAGAAAGGATTATCTTAACTGCAGAATGTATGATCCTTACTCCCCATCTTTGCGTGTGCTAGACAGAAAGAAAGATAGAAAAGATAGAAAAATAATAGGAAAGAAAGATAGAAAGATAGAAAGAATAGAAAGAAGATAGAAAATCTCATCGAATTAATACTATTAGCAAGAATAAAAGATAATTTCTGCAATAATGGTGACCTAGAACAATAGTTTTATAATGCAGCTACCCAAAACTGAGTCTTAAACTCAGAAAATTTAGAAACAGAATTTTTGATGACTTATTGAAATAAATATATAAAATTAACTTAAAAAAAAAAGAACATACATTCTAGCTTGTCTTCAGGTCTTCCTCTTTCTAGCAGTGACAAATAGCAAACAATATCTTTCAGCTGGATCATGTCTGGTAAATGTAAGTTGGCAGGAGTAGGAGGTCGGGAGGTAGAGGTACCTTTGTTAAGTCTCAGACCTGGAAATAACACATAGCCTTTGTTACTCTTAACATATGATATAAGCAGAAAATGAAAACATAACTCTTGCATACACACATCTTTGTTTTATGTGAATCCCAGATGACTTCTTTATTTAAATATAAATGTGAAGTTTTAAGCAATTCATGTTCATAGTTTATCCAGCAAAGGCAGAATTAAAATGATAGTGAGGTTTTAAAATATTATACAGATAAAGCAAACTATTGAAAAAAAAAAAATCAATTATGGGAATGGCATAACTGGTTTTTTTCATTTGTGTGGATCTGATTCACCAAAAATTTGGTGAATATTTTTATTCTAGTACATTACATGTTAGTTTAAGTATTAAAACAATTCCTGCCCAATGCTGCATCCACTTCCTTGTGTTTGTAGAAGCTTCATCTAACTTATAGATTGACACAAGCTACACTAATTGAAGATGTTTTAGTGTCAAAGAAAACTCTGATAACGCCCAAGTGTGTAGTCTTCCCAAAAAGACATTCAGATGTGTGTCAGAGCAACACGTTTTTAAAACATGGAAGCCTCAGTCACAGAATACTATGAAAATAAACACAGAATGTAAATAATAGTGATAATAATTGCTCAAACGTTGTGATCAAGAGCAGTTCCAGTGTATCACTTGGAATACAAGTTTCAACATTGCCAAACTTTTTGTTTCAAGAGAACATCAATATGACTGGTTCTGATGGTATTACTGGAATCTGCAGGACCAATAGAGGGAAAAAAGGGGAAGGACAGGAGAACACAGAGAAAGAAGCAATAAAACTTTCTTTACAAGTTTGTTACATTTCTCACTAACTTTAGCGATGTTAAAGATGAAACTTTACAAACAGATTTATTGTTCTTAAATATTTTCTGTAACTAATTCAGAACAGATTCACTATTGCACACATAACCTGCATACATAATTTCTCTCATCCATTTGTCTTGGACAAGTTAATTACTGTAGCAAATGGAAACAGAATTCTGGTGGGTTTTTTTCCTCCCCTATTTTTATCTTGAAAAACTTCATTACAGTTCTGATTTTCAAAGGTCTACTGCAGTACACGTTAAAAAAAAATTCAGTAAATAAGAGCAAATTGGCCTGCAGAAAATATATCTTTGAATCAAGTTCATGTTCATGGTTTCAGGCAGATAATAAAGACTTAAAGTAAATATTTAAATGAATAAAAAGATTTAATAGGGCATTGTTCTACTAAATGAGCTTGTGTGTTGGTTAAGTGCCCTTAAAATTAAGACATTATAAAATGTTCATCAATTAAGATGCTCGCTTCAGTCACACAATTTACACAAATAGTTCACATTCCAGTCTTACGTGAATCTTATGCACAGAATAAAAAATATTATAGAACTTGGGCTAACTCATCTCAAAAATGTATAGTCCTGAAATCCAAAAGAAAAGGAACACAAATTTTAAGGTATCTTTTAACTTATAATCAGCTGCAAGGTACAGGTTAAAGTATTACTTCTTAATCAGAGGTGGGAGAGGGGTGGCTTGCAATGTGCTGACTTACAGATGACTTACACTGCTGCTGCTTACCTGGCATCTGTTTCCATCTCTCTTCAGACACCTTAACTGAAAATACAATTTATAAACAGACATGAGCGGACCAAGAGATACCAAGTAAAAAATGGACACATTCCAGAGAGATTTATGAACCCTGCTACTTTCCTTGTGATCTTCTCTAGCTCTGGTGCATCTTTCCATTTCCCAGAAGCAGGTCAAATGTTTCTGACAAATTTATTTCTCATTATGGACAGTTTTTTTCACTATTGGCAACATTTAAAAATTACTAGATATCCTAAAACAAAGGTTTCTGTAATTTTCATTTGCACATCAAAATGTACCAATGCACACTTTTTCCCTTTAAATGCTACAAATTATAAAGGTGTAACATGTAGTTTAAATCTCATGCAATTGAATTACAGTATGAACAGTATATTTTCAAGCACAAATAACTCTTGCATGAGGTGAACCGAATTGTCTCTCTGAACATGCTTTAGATACAAAAAATTTATCTAACAGTCCTTCTGGTATTACACTAAATACATATGGAAGATTACTAATCTGGTCTCACGTTATATTATTTCTGAAGTCCTTACTAACAGAAAAAGATGAAAATTACCTACAAACTGGGAAAAGTGAGTAAAGGAGAAAAAAATTTTAGAAGGTAACATCAGAGTAAGAAACTTAGCATACAGTTTAAACAACAGTAATAGTAAACATAATGATGAATATTACTACTACTACTACTGTTACTATTATTATTTTACCACACATAAGAATAAAATCTATCAGAGAGAATTATAGTGAAAGTGAAGAAAGCTGAGTACGGCCTATATTGGGCAGAATTTAGCTGTAAATCTGGCAATTACCTAAAACCAGCTGTTATCATTTCTACATAGGAAGTGTCAAAGCCATAAAAATACAACACCAGGATGATACAAGATGATTTTTTTTAAATAATAGTAGTCAGACAACATATGTAAAAACACAGCATAATAAATAAATATGCACCACTGCATGGCAGCTACTATTGGAGTTATCAGGCAAAAAGTGTTAAGTGTAAAATATTACAAATTTTGGTGGCTGGTAGAGTGTATGTTTATTGCTGATGCTACTCACTGATGAAAACATGATGAAAAATTCAATGAAAAATTAAAAGTCAAGAAAGTGGAAATGAAATTGTGCTGCTGAGACTTTATAGGCAACAGAATCTATATTCATAGTTGAAAAAAATGCAATGCTGAAAATTTATGACATCCAAAATATACCCTGCAGCATACAATAAAGAATACATTTAGGCATGCCCTTAGAGATTCTGTTGCAAAGTATCTTTAAGGGCAAGGGACTGAATCACCGGTCTAAATGACTTGCCCAAACCTGTCAGTAAGTCATTATCAGAGCTGTAATAAGCAACAGAAGGTTTTGAATACTCCACACAACTGATTACACCATAGTCTACTAAGCCTACTGCTCTGCACATGGAACCAGTCTAGATAACTAAAAAAGCCCAGGAAGTTGGAAATGTACTGTCTGCAAAGCAGATATTTGTGGAAGGAGATGTTCATGGCAGTTCTGATTAGAAAGGATAAAAAAAAGATACCTGAATAATTCAAAGCAAATGAAAAAAAGATTTATATGAAGAATCATACCCTCGTTATGGTAAGCAAGCTTTGCTAGCAGAAAAAAAGTTTTTTCGGCTAAGTCTAATTAGAGTTAATAACCATTACATATATACATTATAATACAATAGAAGATGATAATGTAACATGGGTTTTTTGGTTTGGTTGGTTGGTTGGTGTTTTTTGCCAGGAAATATACAGCTAAGAAGTGTAAATAACAGGTGCTGTAATCTTAAATACAGAAAAATAACTGAAGCCCATCTATTTAAGACAATTGAGAACGACATGCACTAAAAAAAAAAAACCAACAAACAGGTCAGACTCAATGGGTGATATCTGAAAGCCTGTAATAACTATTGTACACTGAGGCACCTGTGGAAATCTATTGCTTGGTATCTGCAAGAAAAGCTAACATTTCAGCTAGTAGCACTTGTACCAAATTCACAACTTCTGAATGGGGTGCAATTTGAAGACACCTAATCTTCATATAAAGAATTCAAGAGATTAAGTACCCATCAAACCATTTGGTAACTCGCTCTAAGCACTTGATTATCCCAGCTGTTCAAAACATGCAATTTATTTCATTAAATTAGTCTAGCTTCTGCTTTTGACTACTGGATTTTGATAGAGTTCCCAAACTGCTAAAAGTGCTCAACCAAATATTTCAAGTTAGGAAGGTAACTTTAAATTTCTTGTGCAAATTTTCTTTAAAAGTTTCATAAAGTTTGGTAAGTTGGTAATTTTTAATACTGTTTCACATGGAAGTATTTTAACATGTTATGTCCTCTGAACTCAAAATCACTTTTAATAAAAGTGTTCAGTTTAACATGAAAATTTCAAACTGCATTGAAGAAGATCCTTACACTGGGAAAAGAAATACTGCTAACACTTATAAGACATTTAAAATATCAGTAGCTGATAAGTATGTAGGATTACTAATAGTGGTGTCACACCTAGACAATTAAGAGAAGCAGCAGTAACTGTGCACAGAAACTGCAGAGCCATCAGCAGGAGCCTCCTGCATGAAGCTTTCTAAGCGTTTATACAGTAGAGTAGGCAGCAAGACCATGTAACCATAGCAATCTGATTAGCATTAACGTGACAAAGACTGTCCACTTGGTGTCTCAGCTACATCATTATTGTGAATTAAAAAGACGAAACCATTCCATTTCCATTTCTTTTCACAGTATTTCTTGTTTGTGATTGAGTTAGTTTCTCCTCACAATTTCAGAACAGAAAAAGAAATACGTATAGTTTAGAATTCCATATATTTATAGCTATTAGAAGTAAAATAGCAGGGGGAAGGAACCTTCAGCTCTTATATTACTGTGTTTTTATTACTTACCTCCAGAAAGGTGCTGGGGTTTGTTTTTTATTAACGGGCTGCAGTGAGAGATTTTGTTGCTAAATGATGTAAAAAGATGCTCAATGAAATCATCTGGTAACTCTGCCTCCAGAAAAGTCTTCATGAACAGCTTGAACCCCTCTAAATCAATCGTCTAGAGTGGGGGGGGGGAAAAAAAGTATTTTGAATTGTTCATTTTGCAAAAACTGTCATACTAATCCATCAAATAATATTCTGTTAACAAAAAATTTAGACTCTCTGAAATACTGATTTCTGAAGATATAGCCTGGCAGACCTATTCTTGAAAGTGATTGATTATTGAATTAAGTATTACTTTGAAAACTCACAGTATTGCTGCAATAGCTCAGAGCACAGTGTAAGATAGCTCAGAGTAAATTCAGAGCACTTGTATCAGGACCCCAAAACTAAGTTTCATGCACTTATGGAGCTCACAGGGATGTACCTAGTAAGTCTTAGCTTTTCCCACAGTTAGGCAGACCACAAGCAGGGGATTTTTGGATGCCTAATTCAGGGAATTGAAGGCTTCCTGTCTTTTCCTAGATGGCAACAGGTTTTGCTGGTATTTGTCCAAGAGAAACTAATCATCCTGTCTTAAACAGGTTCTAATAGTCAAATGAGAGTGCTGAGACATGCAACATTTCTTAAAGGGGAAAACAAGTTGTTGATTTGAAACATTTCTCATTTAGTTTAATTTGGTTTTGCTTTTGCTAGCAAAGAGATAATTAATGAAATTTTATTGATGATTTCTCCTGGTAAAACAGCATTGTTTGTTTTAAGTAATAAAATGAATCACAGAATCATAGAGTATCTCATCATCAAGTCCAACTTCCTGCTCCTCTCAGGACTACCTAAAACTAAACCATATGACTAAGAGCACTGTCCAGATGCTCCTTGAACTCTGACAGGCCTGGTACCATTACCACTTCCCTGGGGAGCCTGTTCCAGTGACCGACCACCCTCCCAGTGAAGAACTTATTCCTAATGCCCAATCTGAACTTTCCCTGACACAGCTTCATTCCACTGCCTCTTGTCCTGTCAGTGGTCATCAGAGAGAGGAGATCAGCACATCCCCCTCTGCTGCCCGCCTTGAGGAAGGTATAGACTGCAATGAGGTCACAGCAATGTAAAGCATTATGATCCCATTTTATCCTGCTAATATAGAACCACCAAAGGTAAAGGTGTCCTGAAACATATCGAGAGAGCTTAAGACAATTTCAGTTTTATGTCAGAAATAACTGTGACACAACTGCATACTTATCAATGTTGCTACTCTGTTACGTATGTGATCTTAAAACAGCTTATCACTCATTCATCTGTAAAACATAGTGTTGCTGTCTTTGTTTCTAGATCAAACAGGACAGGAACTTTTCACCATTAAATAGTTAAGGGATAAAGCCACGTTATACCACAAAATCAACTTGGAGACATTTCCCCATGCTTCGGGAATACTCCATTTCTCCACAGAAAACTCTAGTGCAACTCCTTTAGTTCAGTACAGTGAATGCAGCATTAGGAGGGAAAAGACTAGCAAGAAATCAGCTCAAGACCATGCCAGAAAAAAGAAAATTGAAACTAAATTTTCAAAGTGCCGCAGTCACTTTGGAATCTGAGTCACAGTATAAATAGTTTTTACAATTACTTTAATATCATTTCAACACTTTGGAGCAGAGATTTCTCTCCCCCTGCCTTTTTTCCCCCCTTTTTTCCTTTTTTTTTTCTTTTTTTTTTTTTTTTTTTTTTTTAATATTTATGAGATGTAGAAATTTTATGTCCACACAAAATAAGGTGTGTTCCATTAAGGCCAAGACCTAACTACTGCAGGGTAATGTTTTAAATGTGTATCACTGTCCTTACTAGGGACCAACAACACAGACTGCTGATCTTGTGCAAGTCATTATTATTAGGAATGTAAACTTGGCAAGAGGGTATCTATGCTGAGCTTCTAATCCAGAACACCTCACTTGAGAAAGAAGTTCAGTGAAATCAGTAAACCTCTTGCCTATTGAACACAAAAATAGCAGAGACTGAAAAAAAAATGGCCTCCACAAGACTCAAGCTGGGCATAAAATGTAAATAATCAACTTGGACATGGACTAACTATCTTTGTTTCATCACACAGTTTCAGCTGCTCTCTTCTACTTTGACAATTCATACCCTGTTTCACTCATGCTACAAACTTTATGTTTTTCCTCAATAATAAAGTCACTGACATTTAATTCACTGTTTATAAACTATGAAACCACTACGGCAAAAGGATTTGTATCAGCATCCAAGTAAACTAGTCATTAGTTTACACTATATAAATGTATTTTTTTATCTGCAAGCATAACAAATACATTAATCGCTAAATCAACTGACTTTAACAATATGAAATTGCTTTGTTAGATTGTTCATTAATGAAACATGTCTTAGCTATTTCACTAAATTACATACAAAGAGGAATAACCAAGTGAAAAAGGAAAACAGAAAACCAAATTATAATCCCATTTAAGTTAAGGTTTATGGATGGATATATAAAATACCTCTGTATTACATAAAGCTTTTTTTTATTTACCTTGTCTGTAAATTTTATGTATATACTGCCAAAAATATTCCTTGAGTTTACAGCTATCTTAGATTTTTAAACTGCTGCCTGAGTGATATTGGTCCACCAAGCTGCCAGCAATAACTAAATTCCTAATGGTACATTTTTTCCATTTATAGGCTCAGAATTATGCCTGGGTAGAGATGTGGATTAATAAATAAGGTTAAAATTATGTGTGTGTTTCTTCCTGAAGACTTTCTTTCTTCAAAGATGTTCAAACTTTCCAATATTTTCTGAAGATGGTCAGATTATCATTTACCCCAGTGTCCTCCAAAGCAAGTGTTCCAAACTGTCTTATATTTTCTGGCCAGGAAAGACAATAGATATCAAAGTAAGACATGACTTGGCTGCCATGTCCATTTATTATATTTATATACATCTTGACTGCCACTGATTAAGGTGCTCAGCAAAGGAAAAAGAAAGTGGGTGGTTGTTCTATAAGGCTGTTCTACAGTCAGATTTCTTCAGCTGGAAGTGCTTTATCCTCTCCTCTTACATGTTCTGTGACCTCTATTCCCCCAGGAAAGCAGCAACATTCATACAACAAGAGGTCAGACATTGCATAACCAAAAGCTTTCAAATGATGCTGAAAGTTAATTAGGAGCTGGTAAGTGACTTGAATACACATCAAAAATGTTCATAATAGCCCAAAATGCAGATGCAAAACCACATGCTGTATCAAACGAATGTGCAACAGTCCTGCCTAAAGGAGATCTATGTGTAGAGCCCTGTGATTAGGTTCTTGCCTGTATGAAAAAACCACAAAACCTGTGATTCTAATACTCCATAGCTGAAAAACATTTTCAAGAAGACCTAACGTACTTGGTGTAGATTATCCTATTAGAACTGAGCTCTAAAGTAATCCAGACATTTCTGGAAATTTGTTTTTGTAAATGTATATACAGTAAATAACAGAACTGAGCTAGACTATAGCAGATTTAGGAGTAGTTTAAATTATCCATCTAGCTTTCCAATGAAAAAGGGGTGAGCTTTCAAAAAAGGCTCACTTTAAATTACTTCCAGTGCTTTATCATCTCTCTCTCCCTGTAATATACATAAGCCGTTACATAACTGTAGAAAAATTGAATAATTTCTTAAACGAAATCCTGTGAGGACCACTGTAGAAGACTTACAGGTGTTAAGAGTATTATCATGAAGTAGAAGTTTTAGTATTCAGTATGGTTCATTTAGAACAGAACACTTAAAGATGCAAAACATTTGCTCAGCTTAATTTGAAATAACAACACACAATATTATGAGTATTTCTCTATTCTGCAATTATATAGTATTTTTCTTTTTCCTCATGGACCTTTACCCTTCTAAAATATTAAGATGCTTCAGTAAGTGATTAGCCTTCCTCTAACTACTAGCATTTCCCCCCAACCCCAGCTACTTTTTGGTAGCCCCCACAACATTTTGGTAACCAAAAAAAGGAAAGCAGAGGACATTAATCTTCCAAACTAACACGGAACATGCTCACTCTGCTACGTAAACCACAATATTCTCCTTTTAAATCTCACTATCATATCAGAATTTCTCAGATGAGAAGTTCAATAAATTTTGGTATGGTTTGAAAATAATTTATTTCTGTTAATGAATTCATAAGCATTAATTAAACAGTTCAGATCAATAATATCAGAATAATATATAAGCCATGATGGTAGATGTTTTCTTAAGCATGCAGGCTAATTGCTTAATTTTCAACAGTTGCTTAGCTTCCAGAAGCTCCAGTTGAATTCAAATGAACCTGAGAAAGAAGGATTTAGCATTTCAGAGGCATTTTCCATGACGTTTCCCCAGCGAGGGGATGGGAGCATGAGAGGATGTACCAAACTGACTACAATTAACCTGGCACATGAATTAATTCATTCCATTTCACAAGAGACTATCAGGGCATAGGGAGATTATGATCACAAGTTTAGGGATCTCAGGAAAACGTTCAACATAATGGGGAGATATATAAGGACATGGTTGAAGCAGCCAACAGTTGCTCTGAGAAACATGAAAGAACTTTCAAATAATTTGTCCTACATCTTCTGAGCAGAGAACAGGAAAAACAAAGAATAAAAATCTGTGCTGTTTTAGCTTTGATTCAAATAAAAAAGGTACTACACAGAAAGGTAGGTGTTTTTATATTAATCATATATAAATAATATAAATAAATATAATATATATATTATAATCATATATAAATAATATAAATAAATATAATATATAATCAATATAGTTCAAAGGATTCCTCCTTTTATATGTTAAACAACTGATTCACCAAGTTTACTGGAGCTCCTTTTCTTATGTCTTACAAAAATAAACTTTACAAAATAAGACTTTATATATCTTTATAATCTTCTATATTGTTGGGTAATAAAAGTTCTTTTGGTAATGAAACATTTTGATATAAGCCCAGAGAAGTACACATTCAAAAACACAATCGAGTTTCAGCTAATTTAAACCATAACTTCCATATAAAATTAATTTTACTACTATTTTTAGAAGCAGTTCATATTATTATCATTTCCGATTTATAGATTTTATCAATGTTTTCAACC